AGCCCACTGAGGTCATTAGGGAAAGACATTGGATGTGTGTCTGTGGGGAAGGGCCTTAACCTCATGGGCTTCTGTTTCTGTGAGTGAGGATAATGGTACCTATCTCAAGACCGAAGTGAGTATCAAATGAGTTACTATAGGATATGCAAAGTGGGTAGTGCTTGGCACTGAGGAAAACCTCAAACGGTTAGCTATACTTATTCATGTTCATCAATAATACTCAGTAGCAATGGTTATTCAGAATCTTCTACAACTTGATGAAGTTTTCTTCAGTATTATTATCATCCCCTTTGAGAGGCAGAAAATTCCTTTCCATTGTAGATTTTGAGTGGTGCCTCGGGTGGTCCTTAGAAGATCTGTGTTCATGTTACAATCCAATTGACATCTAAATGACCATGATCATTTAAAAGTCTGCTTCTAGGAGCCAGCAGGTGGCATGATGGTTAAGGCTCTGGACTCCCACAAGGCTGACCATGGTTAGAATCACAGTCCCAGGGGTTTGAAACTCATACCTGGCACATGTGCATACATGCCCAAAATTGCAAGAGGAGAATGGAGAAGAGATTGTGGCATGGTCATCCCCCCCTGGGGGTGACTTATCACTTTCTGTCTCTCTGTTTATGTCACTCTCTCTCTCTGATGAGCGCATATGTCCTATGGCAAAAACCTAAAAGGGAAGTTTGCTCTCACTTTTATACCGTTTCTTTTTTCTTTCTTTCTTTTTTTTTTTTTTTTTTTTGGAGAGAGGTTTTCACTATAGGGCGTGTGTGCTCGCCAGACAGACAGAGAGAGACAGAGAGACAGAAAGTGAGAAATCACCCCCCAGAGGGGATGGTCATGCTGCAATCCCTTCTCCTTCATTCTCCTCTCAGGATCTCGGGCATGCACACACATGCACCTGGCGTGAGTTTTAAACCACCGGATCCGGGATGCAAACAGCGGTCGACTACGTGGGAGTCCAGCAACATGGCCATTACGCTAACTGCTGGTTCACCTGATCCCATTTCTTGAAGGAAATAATTTGTTCTGTATCCTTCTCATTAAAGTCATCACTTTTTCTTTTTTCTTTTTCTCCTTTTTTAGAGAGAGATTTTTGCTATAGGGCGCATGCACTCACCAGAGAGACAGTGAGACAAAAAGACAGAGAGATAAAAAGCAAGAAATTACCCCCCCCCAGGAGGGATGGGGGGGTAATCCCTTTCCATTCTCCTGTCAGGATTTTGGTCACATACACATACTTGGTGTGAATTTTAAGCCACTGGGTCTGGGAATTGAACCACAGTTGACTACTGTGGTTCAGTAGTCAGTCCAGCGATGTAACCATTATGCCATCTGCTGATCTCTAAACCACCAATTGTCCTTAAAAAAAAAAAAAAAAATGCTATACAGCCCTTAAGGATAGTTGCCAAAATGGATGCTTGCTACCTGCCTTGCGGTCACTATGGGGCTGCTGCCAAGGTACCCAGAATGCACCTGGCTCAGAAAGGCTTTGAGTCTCAATTCCTTTTTCTGTGAAATCATATTCTAGTCTGTTGTGTTCCTAATAATAGAAATACCTGAGTCTAGATAATTTATAAAAAATAGAGTTTTATTTAGCTCAGCGTTTTGGAGATCCGAAGTCAAGGAGCTGCACCTGGTGACAGTCTTATTGGCTGGGACTTTCTGTAGTGTCCCAAGGCAGCACAGGGCATCACCTGGCAAGAGCTTGAGTGCAGCAGTGTGTGTCTGTGCCTGCCTCGTTCTCTTCATGTATAAACCCACCAGGAGTCAGTCATGGGGGCCCCAACCTGATGACCTTAACCCTAACCACCTCCCAAAGTCCCTATCTCTTAACCCATGGTCAGATTAAGCTTTCAGCCTCTTAATACCATCACATTTAAATCTTGTCACATGAATTTGGGGGCAGGGAGGTGGACACATTCAAGCAGTAGCAAACCAGAACTATTCGTTGATTCCTAGCTCACAGGTAACTATGAAAATGAAGCAGCGTAGTCTAGGACCTAGCCCACAGTAAACATGTAGGAAGTACCAAGTGTTCAGCAAGTATTGGTTCTCCTTCCTTGGTCTCGGATTTCCATTCTAGCACTCAGTTCTCGCCAGAAAGACAGAAAGAGATAGAGAGACAGAAACTGAGAAATCACCCCCCAGTGGGGATGACCACGCCACAATCCCTTCTCCTTTTTCCTCGGGATCTTGGGCAAGCGCACACACGTGACCGGCGTGAGTCTAAGCCACCGGGTTAGATTTAAGGCATATTAAGGGGGGAAATGGTTTTAAAAACACACTACAGCAGTTACATGGGGGTGGGAGTTTTAAAGAAGTCCGTGGAAATGTGTAGTATAAAAAATTATGTATGGAATTCAAATTATATGTTAATTTCATTTTCCATGAACTTTCTGAAGTCCTCTTGTATAGTGCAACAATCTTACATGTTCCATTTAATAAACATTAACACAAAACACTGAACTTAATATAATTGTTTACTAGATTTAAGTGTTTTTGTTGTTGTTGTTGTTTTTAAAGAGTTAATTCACTGTGTTGGTGCTAATAGAACAAAAACTTTTTCCAAGTTCCTCAGGCACCTATAGGGAGAAAATATCAAGGGTTAGAGTTGTGTGCTTGGGTCTGAACCAACTCCCCACCCCACCCCACGCCCACCTCCTCTGACAGATTCATTGAAGCGGGAGTGGACAAGCCCCAGAGGTCAGAATCTGGCCCCGGAATTTCCACTCCTGTGATCCCCGGAGCCAGAAGTGGTGGGGTAAGTTTGGGGAATGACTGGTCTGGCAGGAGACAGGATACGTACGTACTCAGCCGAAACTACGAGTCTTCTTTTTCAAGGAACTACGAAAATCCTATGAAAACCCTAGATCTTTTCTCTAGAAGGATTCGATCTCCCATCCACCTGCACTCGCGCACAGGCACACACGCGCGCGCACACACACTTCCCCCTGGGGACCCCCCGGAGACCACAAACCGCTGGGTGAAACCCCTGGCCCCGAGAGAGGCTCGGGCGCTCTCTCGGGTCTCTGCTCCGCCTTGCGTCCACGTCCCCCCTGGCTGGGAGCCCTCGCGGTTGCGGGGTGATGGGTGGTGCCGGAGGAACTAAGAGGGGACAGAAGACCCGCTCGGCACCCTGGAGGCGCAGCTGGAGGGGGCGGGGACTAGGACCGGGCGCGGCCCCGCCCCGGGCTCCACCTGCAGGCGCCGATGCCGGGGCTAGCGGGCGGGGGGCCGTGGCGAGCGGTCAGGGCCCCGCCCCCGGCGGCGTGGTCTGCCCAACTGCGCCCATCGCCACCGCAGCAGCAGCTTTGGCTTTCAGCGCTGCTCTGGGGCCGCAGTTCCAGCCATGAAGATGCACTTTTGTATCCCGGTGTCCCAGCAGCGGCCGGACACGCTTGGGGGCCGCTACGTGGTGCGCCTGAGGCTGGGTCAGGGAGGGGGCTGGTGACAGGGCTCACCTTCTCCCTCGATTAATATGGGACTGGTGTGTCTGTGTTGCAGTTGTACTCCGTGTACCTGGACGGGTTCCTCTTCTGCAGGGTGCGCTACAGCCAGCTTCATCGTTGGAACGAACAGGTGAGTGGGTGGGAGGGGTACTGAGACAGGTGGGGGAAAGTGTCCAGAGGACTTGCAAGACCTTTCCAGACCTCAGACTCCTAATCTTGGAAACGGGGTCGTGGTCAGGACTAACTGTGAATTGCTTGGTCTACAGTTCCATGCATACTCGGATGTCTTCAATCCCCCACAGCTATGAGCTGAAGGAACCGGGCACAGAGATTCCCCAGCGCCCTGCCAAGTGGGGCTGAAAGGCGCTGGCGCTATAGTGGGCTCCGTTTCAGTTCCAGCTGTTCTCCCTCCCAATATCCCCTCTTGGAAATGAGCAAATCCAGAGTAGAGTCTTAGGAACTTTGTACATGGCTCTTTAATCTTCTTTCTCTCCAGTTTTCTAGACTTGCCCTCTTTAAAACGTTGCGATTGTCTTTTTTTTTTTTTTTTTCCTAATGACTGTATTCACGGGCTTAGAGGCCTGGCAGGTTGGAAATCCAGGAGACAGAACGGGGGCTTTTAAGTTAGGAAGTTGTTTCTCACCGCCATTTCTGACAGTATTGTCTCTGGGAGGCACGGAAGTACTACTCTGCTCTAGTAGGTTTTACTGTTCTTACAAGGAGGTGTTACACATCTTCTAAATGGATTAGAGGAATAAATGGAAGCATGGAAATATTCACCCTTCTTCCTCCCTCTCCCAAGAGTGCTTTTTTTTTTTTCCCATTGTTATTTTTCTAGATTTTTAGATTATAAAGAGCATATACTTCGAGTTAAAAAGGAAAGTATACAGAAGACAGGAAAAATTTGCCCAGAGGCAACAGCTATTAACATTGTGGGGGAGAGCACTTTCAGGCTGTCTGGGTTTCTAGAGAGTGGATGTTTCATTCAACCATTTTCTGTTAGTGGACAGCTCAGTTGGATTTTTCTACTACTGAAAACATCACAGCAGTTCGTCCTCTCGTTCATAGTGCTTCAGAAAAGTCCATTTTCAAGGTATGGCTAAGTATCTGATGTCAACAAGGAAATGGTTATAATATGGTTACTAATTTGAGTGGTCATCTTTCTTCCTTTCTTTAAGTTTACTTATTCCACGAGACACACACACACACAGGCACCCCAACAGGGTCTTCGTGTTGTAATCTATCCCCAGGAATCCGACCGTAGGCATGTATAAATCCCAGATGCTGTGGTGGGGTGGTGGGAGGAGGACCAAGACCTTCCCGTGTAGATCCAATGGCATTACCACTGTACCACCACCCTGTCCTGAGTGGTCACCTTCCTATTACTAACACCTGACGTGATGCCTGTGACTCAGTAGGTCCTCAGCAACTGTCAACTGACTGCATGCAGAAGGGCATGGATTCAGACTTCTGAAAGACGAGAAGCTACTTGTGACTGAAGCAAGTCTGGGGAATTGTGAGGATCGCAAAAGTAGGCTGATGGAGATCTCCAAGGAAGAGAAAGGATACGTGTTTTAGACACGGGGTCGGGGGGGTCAGGGTCCCCCCCATCCTTCTACACCGTGAGGTGAGAACAGAGAGGAGTCATCCCAAGTATGAAGAAGGAGGCCACAGGGAGACTGCTTCCTGGCTGATCACCTCACCTCTGACCTTCAATTTTCTCACCAGATATTAGGCAAGAAGGTCCTTAGGGATGCCATTCTTCTGGGGTGCTTGCAACAACCAGGGACGGGTTTCTCAGTGAGGCTGCACACAATGCATTCTCAGCAAACCTTTGCCAACTCACAGGTTTCAAGAATTCCTGAAAGCAGTCTTTCTTAAACAACCAACTTAGGAAAATGCATATTTTTAAGAAACTTGGATCTATCAAATCCTAGCAAGTTTCTGTGCAGAAGCAGAGACATAACGCGAGTAAACTGTCACTCTTAATCATCTTGGTGGGGGAAGTTGTGAACAAGAAACTGGTTGTTAGTTCACTGCAGTCGCCACAAATCTGTGTCCTTGGTGGCGTATACAATAGACAGTAATGGAAATTTCATATTTGTCCCAGATTTTTCAAAATCCTCAAGTGGGTATTTCTCTGCCCAGTTTCCAACTTCCTTATACTTTATGCTTATCATTTTTCAACTTTGTAGGTGAACAATTTCATTTTAAAAAAATATTTAATTTTATTATTTATTATTATTTTTTATTATTTTTCAGTTTGCTATAGGGTGCATGCACCTACCAGAGAGAGACAGAGAGAGAAAGAGGGAAAGCAAGAAAGCAAACTTGAACCATGGTCGGCCATGTAGGAGTCCAGCACCTTAACCAGCATGCCACCACTGGCCCAGAACAATTCATTTTTAAAGAAACTCTTTAGATCTTAGGTGGCTACTGATATATATTATTAATTTAAAACAACAACAAACAGTTACTATGTGTAGGTTGATTCTAAGCACTTCACTTGTAATAGCTTGTTTAATTTTTAAAAGTATTATTTAATTTTATTTATTATTATTAATTTTGCTATAGTCACTAGAGAGATAGAAAGTATGAAAGCAAGCTGCCAGGCTTGGCATTCAAACTGTGGTCAGCCATGTGAGAGTCCAGCGCCTTAACTACCATGCCACCTGCTGGCCCTAGCCTGTTTAATTTTTTACAAGAGTCCTAGGAGCTAGAATCATCATTAGCCCCATTTAACAGATGAAGAAGTTGAGGCACTATTTGCCCAAAGTCATGATGGAAAGAGTTAGAGCCAGGATTTGATATCCAGACTATGTGGTTTCTTTTCTTTCTTCTTCTTCTTTTTATTTTCTAGAGAGATTTTTGCTATAGGGTGCGTGTACTTGCTGGAGAGACAGAGAGACATAAAGCAAGAAATCAGCCCCCAGGGGAATGGCCACACTGCAATCCCTTTTCCTCCATTCTCTTCTCAGGACTTTGGGTATGCCCACACATGCACTTGGCGTGAGTTTAAGCCACCAGGTTCAGGACTAGAACTGTGGTCGACTATGTGGGAGTCCAAGGAGTAATTATTATGCCATCTGCTGGTCCCAGACCATGTGGTTTCTTACTAAAGTTGACAACACAGACTGTTTCAGTAAAACAATTAAGGAGTTGGTGGACTCAGATGCAGAGTGATGAGCGTGTTGAAAGATTCATAGTCTAAAGAAATTTTGCAAAGAGGGGGCTGGCGATTCAAGAGAACTTGAATGCAGCCTTCTGTTATGCTCTGTACTTATTGTGTGGAAGATCAGATTACAAACAACATAATATTTTAAAGTAAATAGATGACCTTTTCTCATCTGTAAATGTACGGTGAACAGGAAAGGATGAACATACAAAGAGCAGGGTTTCCCCATAGCAAGAACTTCTTTAAAAGGAAGTTAAAGATTTCCTTGGAAATACAAAGTATGGCATGTGAGAGCTGTTATGTAGAACACAGGGCACGTTAACCCAGTGGGTCTGGGCTTGCTTCTCTGGGAAATGTCAGGACCCAGTGTGCCTGATGCTCAAGGTGTTTTCCAGAAGATCTGGACCATCATCAGTTGGCGTGGTCTCCAACAGAGTTCAAAGACTGAGTCCTAAATGAACATGATTTTAGTATATTTTGGAATAATGTGATAAAAGTTCCTATTTTTCAGTGTTTAATGAGATGAGTTCTGATAAACATGTGCAGTTGCTCTGATCATAATCAAAATGTGGACTGGCAGGCCACATGGCTGATGAAGCAGTTCGATCGCGGGCCTGACAGCTTAAAAACACATAGCAGGCACATATTACTGTGTGCTTAAAATCCTGAGAGGAGAATGGAGAAGAAGGGATTGCAGCATGGCCCTCCCCACTGGAGAGTGACTTCTCTCTCTCTTTCTCTCAGACCTGGTGACTTGAGAGACATGAGCATGTGCGCACATGTGCAAAATCCTGAAAGGAGAGATGGAGAGGAGATTATGGTGCCACCACTCCCCACGGGGCGTACTTTCTCCTCTTCCTCTCTGTCTCTGAATGCGTGCACCCTCTAGCAAAACAATCAAAAACAAAAGACACTACACAACATAAAGAACAGTTCCCTCACTCTGGAGTCTCCTTGTTCTCGTTGCCCTGAGTCCCCTCCACTCACCCCAGTCACAGGCAACCAAGATCCACTGTCCGTAAAGTCAGTAGTACAATTGCTATTGTATTTTGTAGATAAAGCGTCTGAGTAGGGTTTCCAGATTTAGCGAATTTAGAAATATAGGATTCTGGCTGGGATCAGCAGTTAGCGTAATGGCTGTGTCACTGGACTCTCATGTAGTTGACCGTGGTTTGAGTCCTGGACCTGGTGGCTTAAACTCACACCGGGTGCGTGTCCGTGCGTGCCCAAGATCCGGAGAAGAGAATGGCGGAGAAGGGATTGTGGCATGACCACCCTCCCTGGGGGGTGATTACCCACTTTCTATCTCTCTGTCTCTGTCTCTCTGGTGAGCGCACGCACCCTATAGCAAAAATCTCTCAAAAAAAAAAGAAAAGAAAGAAGAAAGAAAGAAAAAGAAAAAAGAAAGAGAGAGAGAGAGAGGAAGAAAGAAGAAAGAAAGAAAGAAAGAAAGAAAGAAAGAAAGAAAGAAAGAAAGAAAGAAAGAAAGAAAGAAGAAAGAAAGAAAGAAAGAAGAAAGAAAGAAACATAGGATCCCGGGAAAGGAGCAGGGAGTGGAGCTGGAGGATGAGCTCGGAGCAGGGTGGGGGGTAGGGTGGGGTGGGGGTGGGAAGCAGCAGCAGCAGCAGCAGAAGATAATCTGGGGCCACAGGGACTGCAGTTGTGGAAATAAGTCCAAGAAGCACGGTTGGCGCAAGGAAACCTACTTGATGTGTATCTACAAGGTGCTGAAACAGGTGCACCCCGGCACGGGCATCTCCAAGGCCATGAGCATCATGAACTCATCTGTGAACGACGTATTTGAGCGGTGGCTGGGGAGGCTGCCCGCCTGGCCCAGTACTCCGGCGGAGCCACGCTGACTTGGGGAGGTCCACACGGCCGTGGGTCTGCTGCTGCCCAGGGAGCTGGCCAAGCATGCCGTGTCCGAGGGCACCAAGGCTGTCACCAAGTACACC